CACTCGACACATACAAAACCCCAACTATTTCTAAAAGTAGAAACGAATGGGATTAGGCTGTACTCCCTTCTCGTGCTGGTATCTCTGACTTTGATGGGGCTCTGTGTGAAAAGGCCGTAGAAGTGGTGGTGAAGCATTTCTTCCAAACACCAAGGAAGAATGGAAAATGCTTGTTCAAAGAAACCTGGTGGTAAACTGCAGACTTCAGTTGACTACACATACACACACACGTACATACGTCAATATATGTATGTATGTGTGTGAGTGTGTATGCATATGTATATATACACCTTTTTCCTTTAGCTCGGCTCCTGAAAGTTCATTTGTGGGAATCCTGATTCTTGATATATTATTTGTAAACAGAGGTCGGGGGACTGGAGTGTTTCCTTGATTTCAATGGATGATGAGGCCTCAAGCTGTGCGCTCAGATTGGGACCTCTAAGCATCCCGCTGCTCCTTAACAGCTTGCTGAAAAATGACATAATTTGTGACATCAGCAATATGCTGCTTTAACAGAGGATTGTGAAACGGCTTCCACCCTTGTGAGCAGGACAAAAGCACCCACGGCCCCTTCCCCACTCCCCCCATCACCTTGCACTCCTTGTACTTTCTTGGCACACGTCGCTGTAAAGCCCTGATATCTGCAGAGCAGTAGGAAATTGCTTGGCGATGTCTGCGCGAGCTCCCAGCCCGCCGGTGCCAGGGAAGATGTCACCGTGCTGAACAGCAGCGGCTGCCAGCGGGAGGCTCAGAGATGCCGATTTTCATACAGAGACTTAATTTCAAATATGGTTCACAGTTTGCACGTGGCTGAAAAACGTCCCTTACCACCTGGATGCTCAGGATGCTGTTTGGGGATGGGACACATTTCAGTTCAGACGATATCTTTTTGTTTCAATCGGTGCCTTTGCAGCATTTCGCAGTTCAGCCAGCAAGGTGTTTTATGTAAGAGCAATAGCAGAGAATATGCCTGATTAAAAATCATCCAAAATGATACCAGGGCAGGACATTAGTTCTGAAATTGAACTGAATGGCAGAACTTGGATGCTTTTTGCAAATGCTCTGTTCCACACCACAGTGAGAAAGGAATGATTTGCTTCCTATGCTACATAGTTGCATGCTGCATGCAGTGATGATGCATCTGGAGTGGATTTGTTATAAAGTACAATACAAACTGGAAGAAAAAAAAAGAAAGAGTTTTAAAGGATATAAATACTGTCATAAACTTAAGCCCAGTAAGAAGAGCGTGCCTTAAAGTGAAAAGACTCATGGCTGTGTTTCTGCCACACTGAACAGGTGAATCCCATGCCTGCCACCAAGAGGCAGCTGCCCACTGTGGCTGCAGCACCTGCTGGGGCTGCCTATGGGAGGGTGAGGATCCTGTGCCCACTGCTCCTTGAGACAGTGAGGGCAGAGGCTTGGGAGACACAGCATCATCAAAACATAAGGCAAGAACATACCATGGGGCTTGCCTAGTTCAACTCCCTCATCAAGGCTCTGTGTCAGATGCTGACCTAGCCTGCCTGCTTCAAAAAAAACTTGTTTCTTTTCTTTAGTGACTTTAGTGCAACTGGTCTTCAAAGGGATGTGTTTTTTTTTTTTAAATTTTGCTGGTTTGTTTTACAGATAGTTCAGGTGTTTGTATTTTCACCCACTACAGAGTCAGCTGAGCTCTGCCTGCCCTTCTGTCCAGCACAGCCCCACTGGAGAGATGGGTGAACAGGCATCCATCCCCATCCCTCAGCCTCTGCTTGTGGTGTGTAAGAAGAGGGGCTTTGCTGGGATATTTGGGATGTCCAGGTGCATGCATGGAGGGGATGCTGGGAAACAGAGAGGTGTGGTTGTGGGGGCCAGCACTGCAACCAGGCATGCCAGCAGCGCGCTTTGGGTATGTCCTCCTATCCATGACAAGAAGAGCAAAATGCAGTACTGAAGCACGAAACAAGCACTGTGTTTGCCTGTAGCCCTTGCTGGTAACAACCAGCTCCAGACCTCTGCGGAGTCTGGATTTATGCACACTTGCTCAGGACGGAGGGAGAGCACGGCTCCTATTTTCGTACTTGATTCTCACATGGAATAATGGGGGGAGAGGAGAGGAGGAGGGGGCAAGATGCAGCTGCAAAAACAGTTGGTGAGACATAAAAATCCCTATTGTTGTGTTGCGGCTCTCGGTGTCCTTCAACTTCTGGGCACAGCCACCCCCCTGGCTCAGGTTCAATGCACAGGGGAGCCGTGGGGCTCGAAGCCCCCTCTTGTTTTTCCCTAAGCCCCACTGTCAATTGTGCTTTTGTTCAAGGAAAAAAAAAAATAGCCCAATGCATGACAATTTATAGCCGGGGAAGCAATTAAAAAAAAATTTATTATCCTTCCTTCCCACCCCTCCAACAGAGTGTTACAGCAGAGGGGATTTTTGATAGCAGAAATAGGAACAAAATCAGAAGTGTGAGACCCGGCGTCGGTTTGCAGAGCAGATTTGGGAGTATCAGCTGTGTGCTGGGAAGCGGCAGCCCTGGAGCACAGTGGGATGCTGATCTCCCTGCTAGGGCACCCACTCCTGTAGCGTGGGGAGTGGAGTCCCTTCTGCCTAGGGAGGGACACTCAGGGCTGGGAGGTGAAAGGGGCTTGAGGAGAAACAGAAAACAAGGCAATGACTCACCCCACAGGTTTACCCCCATCCTGCTCTTTAGAACAGGAGCCGATGACTCGGACTGCATGGTTCTCCAAAATAGCCAGAGAATGGATGAAATGTGCCCAAAGCTGTGCTTGCTTTTCATTTTTTTTCCCCTCCCTCCCTTTCAAAAATAAGGAATTGCCGCCTAGGAGCAGGTACTCCCTTTTTCTGTCACCTAGACAAAAAGTTTTCAGAGCCCATTTCTCCTGGGTTCATCGATTTCCGTTGGCGGCGGAATTGCAGCAGGGCGTGTGTGCAACGTGAGGTGGCGGTGGGGAGAGAGTGCGGACCCCAGAGCTGGGAGATCTGTCCCGGGAGGGTGAGGTTGTCCCCGGGACCCTAGGAGGAGGCACAGCCCGGGGTCGGGCACTGCTCGGTGCTGTGCGAGAGCGGCGAGGGACTGCACTGGGAAACGCATCCCTGCCACAGCGCCGTTTGATGCCGATGTTGGAGAGGAAACCAAAACAATCTTTTCCTTTCAAGCCCCGATTTCGAAACAAAACCGAAGGAGAAAAAAGATATATTTAAAAAACCCTCTAAATTTCCAAGCGCGGCTTTGAAGAGCCCTTGGCTGCTGCTTTGCCCCCGCCGCCATGCCCCTGCCCTCTCCCCGTGCTGCCTCCCGGATGGTGGCTTGAGCAGCATCCTGCTCAATAATTGCTAGAATCTGATTAAAAAAAAAAGGAAAGGAAAGGAACGGAGAGAGAAAAAAAGAAGCAACAGCAGAAGGGAAAATGCACACTAGCATTCAGGTGCTAACCTACTTATTTGAAAGTAATTTATTTTCCATTTTGCCCGTTTTCCCCCTTTAAAACAGAACGCTGAAAGAAAGAATAAGTGCTTTAACATTTCAATGTTGTGCTCTGGTAATTACTTTTTCACTTTTCCCCTAAGTTCCAATGTGAAAACCTCACAGGGGGGTCTTTGCTGCAGCAGGGCTACAGTTCCCAATCCCGAGCGCGAGATCTGCAATTACAAACCCATTCGGCGCCCTTCCCTATCATTAATATGCACAAAATCCCGCTGCTAATCTTATAATCTGTTTTGTTTCATCAATTGCCTGCCTGGCACCGGGCGGGAGAGAAGGAGAGGGAAAGAGAAGGGAAGAAAGAGGGACAGAATAAAGCTGGGAAGCACGTAGCGCTCCCAAAAGTAAACTGAGAAACAAATAAATGGGATTTTATTTGTTATAAAGCGCAGCTCGTTAGGGCTGGGAAATGAACGCGGGACTCTCTGCTGGAGGGGATCTGAGGGACTTTGGGGGAAATGGAAGTGCCCCAGTGCTGGAGTGAAGGCATGGAATCGGGTCCTCAGTTCCTCTGGAATGAAGGTTTTGGGGCCAGGGTCTGCCGGGACCCCTGGTGCTGCAGGGACAATGCAGGAGTTATGGGGGAATCCACTCCCCCTCCCGACACGGCACAGAGGGAATAAAACAATCTATGCCACACGGGTCCTATTGAGATTAATGAAAAAATTATGCAAAAGGAAAAAAAAAAAAAAAGATCCCGACCCTGTATCTTATTTTGCTTTCCCTGTGCCAGGCCTCGCCCCCATGCTGCCCTGCACCTGATGATTTACAGACGTAATCTGTGGGGAGAGCAAGAAATGCGCCTGGCCCTGCCTGTCCCAGATCATCTCCTAAGTAATTGTTTCTCATTAGTCCCGATAATGTTTTAACAGCGCTACCCGTAATTTAGTCATCCAAGAATTAATAACAAAGGGACTCACAGGGCTAGGGCTGGGGGTGCTACAAGATACAATCTGGGAAGGTAGTCCTGCGTTCATCTGATTAGCCTGTGGGTTCCCGTGCCATGGGGACAGCTCACCCTGCTCTGAGACAGGTCACCCCACACCATTGGGATGGGTCACCCTGCAGCAGGACAGCTCGCCCCGTGCCACTCGGACCCTGGGGTCATCTTGTACATACCCCAGTGCTGGGGCTTGGCCAAGCCGCAGCTCTCCAGGCACGGTGTATTGGGTTGAGGCTGGATTCTGTTCTCCTTATTTCTTTTTTCTTTTTCCCTTCCTCTCCCCTCCATCAGAACTAAGCAAAGCGTTCAAAAAGTGTTGCTCGAGGTGCGGGAAGCACGAGAAGAGAGCAGATGGGAGGGAGAAGGTGCTGTGACTCCCTGCGTAAAACGGCCATGGAGGCGGTGAGGAATGAGACCCAAAAACAACTGTTTTCTATTTACAAATTTAAATAAACAGAACAGCCTTCCCCGCGGTGTTTGTCTAAGTGCAGCAGCATTGCTGCTGTGTAGGTCATGAAAAGGTTGGTGCATAGTTTAAAACTTCCCATTCTGTTAATTTCTTAAAGAACAGTCGTTCATAGTCTGAGCACAAAAGCTCATGATTTAATGAGGAACAGAAACAAAATCTCTGATTGTTGGTGTTTCAAACTTCATTGGAGTCCTCTGGCAACCACAAGTTGATCCTCTGCAGCTTCAATACCCTTTAGCCCTCCATATAAGAGTACATGCTGAATAGAGGACAATGCCCGGTTGTTATGTTTATTTACCCTTACTACAAGCTGGGTTAACCTCTTCAAAACAGCTTTACTAAGCCCGTTAACCACACGGCCCACATGACCTGTCGCCGTATCCCTAATGTGATGTAAATCTGACTCGCGACCATATGCACGATTTCTGCCGCATTGTGCCGCCGAGAACCGTGCCTCGACCGCGGCTGCCGAAAGCAGAGACAGAGTCTTGTGTAGGGGCAGTGTTTTAATGGCAGAGATACGAGGCGAGGGGGGGGGGAGGGGGGAATGGAGGGTGAGAAGCCTGTGCAGGACAGTGAGTTTCATCCAGTGAGTTTCATCACATTTATTTCAGCTGATGTGTGATTACCCAGAGCTTTGACTTTCACATGGACTTTGTCATGGGAATGGAGACTGAAGGCTGACCGGTGTCCGCAGGTTATTTGAGGGGAGCTCACTGCTCATATCCTGCTGGTGTCCTCTTGTGAAGCCACGATCCCATAGCCATGATATCACGCATGACATGGCACCGTGGCAGGCACTGAGAGCGAGCGGCACTTTGGGTTGCGAGCACTGTTAACGACGAGCAATTCTGGCAAGGAAATTATGGCAGATCTGCAAAACGTCAATGAATTTCTTCTTAAGCGTGATGCATTTGATTTTTTTTTTCCCCTGAAGTCTTATAGTCATCTTTTAAAACAAGCTTCCGTGGCCCCATGGTGAGCGCTCCATTTACCAGATCATTTTTTCTTGATGGCTGTGGCAAGCGTAACAATGTTCCGTGCCTGCTTCAGCAGCGGCATGTCTATCATGCTCCCGCGGAACGTGAAAGCGCCCTGCAAAAGAGAGAGCATGGGAAGCTGCAGCTCGGCTCTCCCATCAGAAGACATCTGCTGGCAGGGTGCAGAGATGGCTCCTAGGGGATGAGATAACCAACACCTGGAGTAAAGATGGTTTTGGGGTGGGCAGAGGGAATTCCCATTGTCTGGGTGTATGGCTGGGCCTCCCCACCAGGGAGCATGGGGATGGCTGGAGCCTGGGAAAAACAAATGGTTATTGTAATATTGTGGTTACTGTAAGAATCTAGCCCAAATCTCCAGAAGCAGTGTGAGGCCCACCTGAATGCTGCTATAGGGGGTTTCCCAGCAGCGATCCCAACACACATCAGCAGTGATGGGAGAACCAAGGAAAGCCGGATCTCACTTTGCATTTCCAGGGACTCTGTGCTGGTGCTGTGCTGAGTTCAAAGCAGTCAGCAATGTGTCACAGCCACCACTCGGCAGAAGAAACACGTATGAAGCAAAGCAAAGCCTGAGTTGGGTGTTCTTACCAAGAGAGGACTTGATGATAAAGCTCCGTGCATCAGGATATGCCAAAAAACAGGGGGGGGAAATGTTATTTGTAGTTCTGGCAGTACCTTGGCACATTCTTGGATAAAGCAAACACGAGGGTGCAACTCTCTCCCCAGGGAGCTGAGAGGGGCACCCTGTGCAGTGTGGCAGTGGGTCCAGGGACAGGTTTGGCAGTGAGTGAGGTGAGAATGGGGGGGATGGCATGGGAACAGGTTGCTGCGGGCACACGGGTTGGGATAGGCAGCTTGCTGCTGTCTGCTTGTCTTTGAGGGCTGGTAGGGGTTAAATGGAGGAATCTCATAAACAGAGGGAAGACATTGCCCATTGACAGAAATGGGAATGAAATGTGCTGCTCTGGTGGTACACATCGGTTGACTGAAGGAGTATGAATTAAACACTGAATCACATTGTGAAACAAGTAAAACAAAATCCTTCTTGCACACTAACATGACACAAATCAGTATCACTGCATATAAGAGCAGGCTCTGTAGGAGCCATTAACAAAGCAATAGTTAGAGCTATGATTTTATTGCAAGTAGGATTTCATGCTAGAGCTTGCAGTATTTTAGGGAGGTCAGAGAATAACAGACTGACAGCACTCAGCTGCAGATGCTTCAGATCGAATGTCTTATTTACAGAGCAACAGATCAAGCCTACATTAATAGCAACAACAATATGAATTAAAATAACGATTACAATACTTTCTGCCTTAGTGACATCCCAGCCAGTTTCATGTATAGTTTCAACATTAACAAAAGATGCAGCATCAAGCCACTCCATTTATTAACTGTTGTGAAAATACCGTAAGATTTAAGTAGACCTTTTATGATGTTATTCTTTGGAATCACTCAAATCGATGATGTAACGCTCCTGGTAAGCATAAGGCATATTTTTTCACAGTGAGAAAAATGCATTTTAATTGTGCCTGTTTTCCTATAAGCAGTTGGTTTCAGAATGGCTATTGTTTAAGGAGAAATTCATGCGTGTGTGATAAGCAGAGAGCTGCTAAGATCAGGAATGGCCCTTCCCAGCCCTGAGAAGTGGATGCACTGAGAGCAGCTCTCCCAAGTGCCCGTAATGTTGTGCAAAGAGGTGGGCGCCCAGTGATGTTTGTGGGGTCAGGGCATGGTCTTCAGGGCCCGTCTTGAAAGGAAAATGGGATAGCAGCACATGGAGGCATGAACACAGAACCACGGCAGGTAAGCAGCGCATCCTCCTGTCAGCAAGCAGCTGCAGATTTGGCTGTTATGAATTTGAATTCTCAAAGGGAAAAAAAGCAGCAACGAGTAGCACAAAGAATTTGGCTTCTCTGCCCGTTCACTCAGAGGCTTAATTTCTCCCTGCTAATTTGCAGTGCTGAGCTCAAGTCCAGAAAAAGAAACCGATTTTAATGCCATTGAATATGCCCTATTCACTGCCTCCCCTTCCACCCACAGGTTTCGGCAGATAGGAAATACCCGTAATTACAGCTTTGTCCCCACGCTCTCTTTTCCGTCTCTGGTAGCAGAAATTCGCCCTTAACACTCTTTTGATTTTTATTCACATTAATACGAAGAAAACGAGACTTTCTATAAACACCATTGACTTTGATTGTGTTAATCTGAGGATCGGTGTAGCCATAGATCTCAATTTTTTTTTTGGCTGATGGTCTTCAATCATCTCACACTTCCAGCCTGTACTTCCAGTAGTTCAGCTGCTGGTCAGACCCAGAGTCAGCTCTCAAGGAAACCAGATCCAGGCCAAGCCCAAAGAGGTGCTATCCCCTCTATGATGAATTTCAGTGTGTCCTAAAGTGCTCTGAGAACAGAACGTAGAGGGCTTTTGACAAACAAAACAGCTGGAAGGGAATTAAAATTAGATAAAGTTTTTATCTTTTTTCTTCTTTTCTTTCAATTTCTTTCTTTTTTTTTTTTTTTTCTCTTTTTTCTTTTTTTCTCTCTATTTTTTTTTTTCAAGAGGAAACTAACAAGAAGTGCTAGTCTTGGAAAAATGAGAACTGAGCCCAGTCAGTGTCAGTGCCACAGAAATCCAGCCTGCTGACATGGGAAGCAGCAACAGAGAGCTGACAGAGGTCAGCCAGTTTCACAGGCTGGGAGCTGGCGAGGCAATCTGAGAAAAAGGGGCCAACTAATCATAGCCATTGCCTAAACTAACTCAGATCTAACAGAATTCAGTGCATAACTGGGGACTCCTCGCTCACAATGTAGACGACACCCCTGTCCATGCATTGCCATGGATCAGGTCATAAATTTCCAATGTGTCCCATCTATACAAGAAGCACCAAGTAGCAGAAAGTTTTGGCGTTGACCATTTATATGCAATGACCGAAGGCTAAATGTGTTAATGTGATGGTTCCTGGAACACACAGATCTTCTTTCTGTGTGTTGTATGAGGCAGAATCCAAGATCTTCTGCCTTGTGGAATTTTGGGGATGGTTAAGAGCTTGCTAAATCTATACTATCCTCTCACAAACATAGCATAAGTTTTCTATGGCAAGACGTATTTGATCTTCCTAGAAAGTAAATGAATGGGATTCAGAGTTAGCGATTTCTGTATCTGCTGGGGATCAATGGGTTTTGGGGGAGCCAGGAAAGGGGAAAAAACTCCACATCCAACTTTCTTGCTGGCATTTATTATGTGTGGAAGAGTTGTGGTGACTTTGAGTGAACAGAAAAACCAGTGAGTCACCTGTCATGACTTTGCAGAAGATCATGGAAATTGAAGTCTCTAACTTCTTCTTTTTTGCTTTTTTACATTACTTCCATGTAATGTGCAGTGCTATACAGGGTTTTACTCCCTCCACTTTTGTTTCCTTATGTATCACTGGGTAAACTAAAGAAACAAGCTGGCTGAAGCTATTGGGGTACAGAGCACTTCGGGGACCTCATAACTCTGTAGCGCACTTGCCTCTGAGCGATGGCTTGGATGAAAGACAATGAGTTAATTAAAGCAAAATAGTAATTGTTCTGGGACATGTGGGACAGCAATCAGACAAACTAGTCCCCCTTGGTTGACAAGAGGGAGGAATTAGAGGAATTCCCACTCCAGGGAACACTTGGGGCAGTTTCCTCAGTATTTGCTCTTTCCTTGCATCTACCCATACCCATCTGGGTGGCTGCAATGAGCTCCTTGCAAAAGCAGCTGCAGATCCTCTCTTCCCTAGATGGAGGAAAATACCAGAAACAGGATCAGTTTTCCTAAGGGCTAGCAAGTATATATATTTGAAAGTACTGAAAAAATCCAAAAAAATCACCAAAATCTACTGGCTTCCCTTTTGGTTACAGATATGACTCCAAATGGTTGCGAGGACTCCGCGTTCTGTTTTGGGAATCAACAGTAGTTGTTCTCAATTACCTTGACCTTTGCTAATCAACCTTGCTTGTAGTTTGTCTATTGCAGAAAAAAACCCAACATTTATTTCATATAACGTGAAATAATATAGCCAACGGTGCTGGGCTCAGTGGTGTGTCTACAAGTATGGACTGCACTGGGCAGTCCCATGTGGGGATAGCCAGCTCTCTCAAAGCAGTTTACTTCGGGATCCTACTCAGGAGATTTGGAGGCTTGGAGGTACCAGGAGATGTTCATGAGCAGATAGGGCCTTAGCATGGGGCACTCTGGTCAGTGAAAGAAAAGGAGAAGAGAGCCAAGGTCATGTTCCATGGAATTGCAGTTCCTACGAGAAAGAACCTGCTGCTGAATTTTGAATTAGACATAGGTCTGGGGTGAGGGTTATTGAATGCCTGTGAAATTACCAGCAAATCTCTGCTGCTGGTTAGGTGCTCAGAAGATGAGCAAGCTCTTGAGTGAGGGGAAGTCCTTTGGAGGCACTCTGGTGTCACTAGTTAGAAACAATGCTCTGCTGATGGAGACGTGCCTTTCTTCAATTACTTTTCTGCTCAGTTCCGCTAGAAATACTTTCCCTTGCAGACCAAATCCCTGCACTCACGTAGGCAAGTGTCCCCAATTCCACAGACACTAGAAATGTCTTTGAGACACAATTACCTGAGAAGCAGTCTCTATTTCTGTTGTAATTCGATGGATTACTTGGGGATAGATCCTAGAAGTCTACTTAGGACTTTTTGGAGACCACAAATGTACGTACAATAAACCCATTAAAATCCTCCCAGGTCTGAGAACATTATCCCTTATCCTGCACATTAACCTGTCCTAAGGAAATGGGAGTGCTGTGCCCTAGAAGAATGGCAGATTTGCTCTTCTGAGGAGGGGAGGAAGCAGGTGGATGGCAAAGGGTCCTCCTAAAAAGCATGGCATTCAGGAAGATAATTCCCTCAAGGATTAATGAAAACACACATTCTTTAAGCACCCCCCTGCAGAGGAAATGTGGAAATCTCTGCTTCAGGGCTTAAAAAGAACGCTTGGATTTGCTTACAGGTATTTGAACAAAAGGGAGCCCAGCTCGCAGCACATGGAGCTGGGTCTGTGCCTGGGGGAGGAGTGATTAGCCTAACCACAAAGGAATG